AACTATCTGGAATCCTAGCTACTCGAGAGGCTGTGGAATAAGAATCACTTGAACCTGGGAGGTGGAAATTGCAATAAGCTGAGATCACACCACTGTACTCTAGCCTGGGTGACAAGGCGAGACCCTAACTCGGAAAAAAAAAAAAAAAAAAAAAAAAAAAAGGTAACTGTTGAAGCTGAGTGACATACATGGTTATTTGTTAAACTCTCTTTTTTCTTTTTGTATGTTTGGAGTTGTCCATAATAAAAAGAAAAAAAAAAGGGCCGGGCGCGTTGGCTCAAGCCTGTAATCCCAGCACTTTGGGAGGCCGAGGCGGGTGGATCACAAGGTCAAGAGATCGAGACCATCCTGGTCAACATGGTGAAACCCCGTCTCTACTAAAACTACAAAAAATTAGCTGGGCATGGTGGCGCGTGTCTGTAGTCCCAGCTACTCAGGAGGCTGAGGCAGGAGAATTGCCTGAACCCAGGAGGCGGAGGTTGCGGTGAGCCGAGATCGCGCCACTCCAGCCTGGGTAACAAGAGCGAAACTCCGTCTCAAAAAAAAAAAAAAAAACAATAACAACAACAACAAAAAAAAAAAAGAAAAAAAAGGAGGAACTTACACAAGTTTAAGGTATATAATCAGTCTCTGTGAGTTGAAATTTTGTTGACTTTGGCAGTTTTGTTTGTATTCATCTTTCCTAGGCCTGTTCTGCTATTTTATTGCAGTGTCTCTTTGTGAAACAGACAATGCATAAATAAATTTAAAAGCCTTATACCACAGCTAATAGAAGACTTAAACTTCCTAATTTTCCTAAGGGGGATCATGTATTAAACTTGAAAATGGTGCAAATTTAATTCTGTAGAGTATGCTGTTGTGTATTATATGCTCTTGTCCAACCTAGTAATGTAACAGCAATGGTGCATGTGGTCTGTGCAAATCCAAGAACGCTTTCTTCAACTTTATTGTACTCCAAGTTCATCTTAATTTATTTTATTGAGACAGAGTCTGCTTTGTCGCCCAGGCTGGAGTGCAGAGGCACAATCTCGATTCACTGCAAACTGCTTCCTGGGCTCAAGCAATTCTTGTGCCTCAGCCTTCTGAGTAGCTGGGACTACAGGCATGAGCCACCATGCCCAGCTAATTTTTGTATTTTTTTTGGTAGAGATGGAGTTTCGCCACGTTGGCCAGGCTGGTCTTGAACTCCTGGTCTCAAGTGATCTGCCTGCCTTGGCCTTCCCAAGGGCCAGGATTACAGGCATGAGCCACTGTGCCAGCCCACGTTTATTTTATTTCTATCCTTTTTTTAAATTTTGAGACAGAGTCTTACTTTGTTACCCAGGCTGGAGTGCAGTGGCACAAACATGGCTCACTATAGCCTCAACCTCCTGGGCTCAAGTGATCATCTCACGTTAGCCCAAGTAGCTGGAGCTACAGGCACGCACCAACCCAACCAGCTAATTTTATAATTTTTGTAGAGAGAGGGTCTCCTCATGTTACCCAACTACTGTGGCAGTTACATTTCCTGAGCTTAAGTGATATGCCTGCATCAGCCTCCCAAAGTGCTTGGATTACAGGCATGAGCCACTGTGCCCGGTTGGTCCAAATTCATTTTAAAACAGTATAAAACACATCCGTACACTAACTATACCTTACCTGGTGCATAACCAAACAAACCAGCAAAAACAGATACTGTCAGCTCTGTGGTCTGAATGTATTAAACGAGGCATAACAAATTTGGCACTGACAACCCAAAGCATATGAATTCATCCAGAGATGAAAAGTAGCCAAAGATAATTAGATTCACATGAAATTAAATTTAGAAAGAATTTCAATTTGTCAATTTACAGGGATTATTCCAATTTAGGAAACTGTAATTACCTCTCATACAGAGCCTCCTCATCCTGGTATTTGTTTCTGGGAAAGTAAATCAGTGTCAGTTGCTTGGCAAGTGTGGGATTAGAGGAAAGATACTTCCAAGAAAAAAGAATTTCATTTTGGCAACAATGTGCAACCCCCAGAAAGACCCCCTCCTCCTTCCTTCAGCTATGAAATACATTACTGGGACAATTGTGGAAATCTGAATACAGACTGTAATCTCTCTAGAGAACAGTACTGCATTAACATGAATTTCCTGAACTTGATTATTGTATTGTGGTCATGCAGAAGATGCCATTTTTTTTTTTTTTTGGAGACAGAGTTTCGCTTTGTTGCCCAGGCTGGAGTGCAGCAGCACGATCTTGGCTCACTGCAACCTCCACCTCCCGGGTTCAAGCGATTCTCCTACCTTAGCCTCAGGAGTAGCTGGGATTACAGGTGCACGCTGCCACGTTTGGCTGATTTTTGTATTTTTAGTAGAGACGAGGTTTCACCACGTTGGCCAGGATGGTGTCGATCGCCTGACCACATGGTACACCACCTTGGCCTCCCAAAGTGCTGGGATTAGAGGCATGAGCCACCACACCTGGCCAGAAGATGTCCTTGTTTTACAGGATTAAGCTGAAGTATTTATGGGATTAAGCTGAAGTGTCTGGATGTCTGCAAATAACTCTCAAATGGTTTGGGAGCAAAAGAAAAAAATATAGAGATTAGTAAAGCAAACATCATAAAATGTTACCAATTGGTAAATTTAGTTGAAGGGTGTATGGGTATTCACTGTTTTATCTTGCAATTTTTTTAAGAATTAAACTTCAAAAAAGAATTGGACACATGATCCAGAATGAACTCAACCATAATGATGTCATAACACGTACATAAACATGTACAAAGGCTAAGGAGGCAAAAAGCAAATAAATGCTGCATCTTAAGTAGTAAAAACCCGTTAGCCCACATTTCCTTCGGAAAACAGCTAAGATTCATAACAGGAAGTCATTTTCTTTTTCTTTCTTTTTTTTTTTTTTTTTTGAGACAGAGTTTTGCTTGTTGCCCAGGCTGGAGTGCAATGGCATGATCTTGGCTTACTGCAACCTCCACCTCCTAGGTTCAAGCAATTCTCCCACCTCAGCCTCCCGAGTTGCTGGGATTACAGGTGTACACTACCATGCTTGGCTAATTTTTGTATTTTCAGTAGAGACAGAGTTTCAGCATGTTGGCCAGGCTGGTCCTGAACTCCTGACCTCAAGTAACCTGCCCACCTCAGCCTCCCAATGTGCTGGGATTATAGACATGAGCCACCATGCTAGCTGGATCATTATCTAGATGGAACGTCGGTTTACAGAACAACTCTTTTATAGATGTAGTATATAGTATATTATCAGAAATCAATCAGAGATATATAGTGTTTTTTGGCCTAGAGGAAGAAGACACACTGCCTATATATAGCGAACATGGATGGATTCCTTTCCAACAAAAGGAACTATAGCAAACCGTCAGAATTTTACTCTGTAGTTAGATACAATCTATTCTTCAAAAACTTTATTCATTAACCATTTATTGAACACCTGTTAACCATTTACTGAATACCTGTCATCTCCCAGTGGTCCTGGGCTTAGTCCTTGCTTTGAAGGAGTCGGTCTATCAAAGTTTCTGCATATCTTTATAAAATCCTAGTTTAATTTTAGTAACTTAGATTGCAGGTAATCTAGAAATAATTTACAACTACTAATTAAAAGCAATTATGAACAGGTGCAGTGGTTCACGCCTGTAATCCCAGCACTTTGGGAAACCGACGCAGTTGGATCACTTTAGGTCAGGAGTTTGAGATCTGCCTGGCCAACATGGTAAAACAGTCTCTATTAAAAATATAAAAATCAGCCAGGCATGGTAGCATATGCCTGTAATACCACTTACGTGGGAGGCTGAGGCATGACAATCACTTGAACCCAGGAGGCAGAGGTTGCAGTGAGTCGAGATCACACCACTGCACTCCAGCCTGGGCGACAGAGTGAGGTTCTGTCTCAAAAATAAAGTAAAATAATAAAATAAAGGCAATTAAAATTTTCTACTCCAATTAAAATGGCATATAATTCTGTAAACCATAATATAGTTTATAGTCTTCTCTGAGGTAGTTGCATTTTGTCAAGCATCTGATTCCCTACCAGATAAGTTATTTTTCAATGCAGAAGCCAGTCTTTAAGTATACAATTAAATCAGAAGTCACAAAGAGTAAAATGTCTATCTAGGGACTGCCTCTGCATTTCAGTCATTTGCTTGTTTTCGCTGGCTAAGAGGTCAGAGATCAATGAGACTTGTCTCTTTAATTATGGGTTCTTAGATACAAAATAAAGATCCACTATGCAAAAGCTCAAAATTCCTATAAAGAAAAGCTTAGGAACTCATAATTTTATAACTGGCTGTCTACAAATAATTTTTGAATGGTTCAGAAAAAAAAAAAGATAAAAAGGGGACATGCACTGTGGAGACCTGCTGTGGTCTCCACATTTTCATTTCTGCTGAGTACTGCACTGCCGCTGAGCAAAGGTCCCATTACATAAAGAGAATGTGATCTTTGTTTTGTTTTTGAGACAGGGCCTCACTCTGTCATCCAGACTGGAGTGCAGTGGTGCCATCTTGGCTCACTGCAACCTCCACCTCCTGGGTTCAAGTGATTCTGCCATCTCAATTTCCCAAACAGCTGAGACTATAGGCACGCACCACCATGCCCCCATCTAATTTTTGTATTTTTTGTTCCTTTGGTATTTCTTTCCATTAAGGCCTACTGAGAGATTAAAAATGATGGAGGAGACCTGTTTATTAATGGCCACATGTGTGACTAAAGTTTACACAGATTGCCTTACCTAAAATGCAGCCTTTCACTACTGCAAGGTAAATGCAGCCATCAGGATTCTTTCTGTAAATCTGGGCTGTAGAATCACACTTGAACTTTTCATTTGTCCTAAAGGACAGGGGAGACAGCAGGAGGCAAGTATGTGCCCAGATAAGAACCCCTCTCTGCCCTGCTTGCGGCAGAAGAGGTCCATGCAGAAGACACACTACAAATATGTATGAAAGAAAGATGAGCTGTGGAACAAATGAGCAGGGGCAGCTTCTGACTCGATCAAATGACATTCTTCCTAGAATCACTGCTTCAATGATCATCTTTTATTAAAAGAAAAACAATTCAAAACACATGATAAGAAATTAGAGTTTTTATCAATACACAAATAATTTTACTTAAAACCAACCCAGTTATGTATTTTAAAAAACTTCAGAACCTCTCCGCATCAGTGTCCACAACCTAGAATAGGTTCATGTGAAACCTACAATCCTACCCAGGAGCATCAGTAAGTGATGGGCCAGGTACTCACTGACACGTTTCTTGACACTGAGGTGGTTGCAAACAAAACATCTTTCTTGCCTGGATGATGCAAGAGTTCACATAAAAGAGCTTTATAAAATGTCTATGAAGGAGAACTGGTAATATCAGAAAAGCTCCAGCACTTCAATTGAATATAATCCTCTATTATTCTTTTCTTGGTTTAATTTCTGTAGCTCCCGAAAACTTACTTCAATCTTGTTAAGCTCGGAATAAACAGATATCTAAAGAAAAAAGTTTCAGAGTACCTTTTACTATAATGTCTACATAGAAACAAATCTTCCATGATTATTAGGAAGTTTTTTAAGGATCAATTTTAAGAATAAATTGTAATTCAGGTGATACTTGGGTACAAATAAAATCAGTATATGTCAAATAATCACAAACCTGAGATTTCACAAGCTTGTAAAGATTTATCAGTAGCCTTTTTGCTTCTGGCATCATTACTACAACAGTAAAATTTGCATCCAGAAGTAGGCATATCCAATCCATAATCTGAAGATGAATAGGAAAAGGAAAGTTAAGATTTTAAATTTAACTTCAACTTAATTCATTTTACAAAGTTCATAAATATATCAAATAGTTATGAGAAAAATAAGTCTTTATAAATAAAATCTGAACATTTTAGTTTAGAGATAGAGGAGTTTCTAAGAAATATAAAAAGGATCATTTCTGGCTTTAAAAAATTTATTTTAATTAAAAAAAAAAAAAAAGGCAGTGGCACAATTCATAGCTCACTGGAGCCTCCAAACACCTGGGCTGAAGTGATCCTCCTGCCTGCGTCTCCCAGATAGCTGCAGCCATCCAGAGTAGGTAGGATTACAGATGCACCACCACACCCCGCTAATTTTTAACATTTTTTGCAGAGATGGAGTTTTGCGTTATTGCCCTGCTGGTCTTCAACGCCTGGCCTCAAGCAATCCTCCAACATTAGCCTTCCAAAGTGCTAAGATTACAGGTGTGAGCCACTGTGTCCGGCCAGTAGTTGTCTTTTATTTTTAAAAATTTTACTTTTCAGTTTTGATAATTTTCAGTTACCAAAACAAAACAAAACAAAAAAAACCACTCATCTTCTATTCTGCAAAATGCATTTTCCCCCAAGGACAGGGTGTTGTGTATTACAGATGAGCTACCATAAACTAGGATTATTACTAAGCACTTATAAAAGTTTCCTATGTAGTCCCCCATCTTCCAATGGCATAGTTGACATGCAAATATCACTGTAATGACAAAGCACCCAGGAAACTGGTCATCCATTTGGGCACGGGGAGCTGATCCCTATGGAACTCCTTATGTTAAATTAAATTCTGTATGTATTAAAGGGTTAAACACAAGAAATAAAACCATGAATACAGTAGGAAAAACTGGTGACTATTTTCATAATCTTAGAGTGAGAAGGGGCTTATACATAATATAGGCCATAAAGAAGTCATAGAGGAAAAGTTTCACTAATTTTAACAGCATGAAAATGAAAAAGTGTCTGTCAAAAATTACACTAAAGAGAGTAAAAAGACAAATAGAAAAAAAGTACTTACAATGCATATGACAGAAACAGGCTAATTTCCTTAATATAAAAAGAACTGTTTATATACCACAAGACAGGAAGTGTAATAAATATATGGACAAAGAACCCAACTAGGCAGATTCACAGAAAGAAATATAAATGGACAAGAGACGGTTCACTTCTCTCATTATCAAAGAAATGCAAAATATAATGAACTAACACCTGTTACCCATCTGAGTGGCAAAGAGTAAGTTTGACAAAGCCGGGTGTCAGTAAGAATGTGAAAAAGAATGTCTCAGACCTTGCTCGTGGTAGTTGTCACAACTCTTCAGAAACATAGTCTGGCATTTTGAAAACTAAAAATGCACACGCCATTCCATCCAATAATTTCTCTTGTGGAATTTATCCAACAGGCATTCTCATAAATATACAAGAATATCTGTATGAAGTTACTCACTGAAGGTTTGCAATAGCAAAAAATGGTAAACAACAGAAATGCCCACCGATAAAGGATTCACAGATACATGAATATATATTTGTAAAATGAAATAGTATGCATTGGTAAAAAGGAATGAGGCAGATTTACGTCTACTGGTCCAGGAAATGTCTAAAATACTGTTGAGTGAGAAAAACCAAACTGCAGAATAGCACACATACTTATAATCTCATTCATGTTAGACAAAACAAGAGAAAGTTAAGTTTGTGTATGTTTAGACAGAAGAGAAACTCTTGGTCAAGCATGGTGGCTCACACCTGTAATCTTAACACTTTGGAAAGCCGAGGAGGGAGGATCACTTGAGCCCAGGAGTTTGAGGGCAGCTTGGATAACATAGTGAGATCTTGTCTCTATTTTTTAAAAAAGAGAAAATAAACTCTTAATGTTGGTTAGCTCCAGCCTGGGCAACAGAGCAAGACTCCACCTCAAATAAAAACAAAAAAACAAACAAAAAAAATCAACTTATTTTTAGACCAGGTAAGTGTCTCATGCCTGTAATCCACGTGCTTCGGGAGCCCAAGGCAGGAAGATCACTTAAGCCCAGCAGTGTGAGAGCAGCCTGGGCAACACAGGGAGTCCCTGCCTCTAAAAGAAAAACTAAAATAAAAAAACTGAATTTTGGCCGGGTGTGGTGGTTCACACCTGTAATCCTAGTATTTTGGGAGGCTGAGGCAGGCAGATTATCTGAGGTCAGGAATTCAAGATGAGCCTGGTCAACATGGTGAAACCCCATTTCTACTAAAAACATAAAAATTAGCTGGGCATGGTGGCACATGCCTGTAATCCTAGCTACTTGGGAGGATGAGGCAGAAGAATCGCTTGAACCTGGGAGGTGGAGGTTGCAGTGACTTGAGATCGTGCCACTGCACTCTAGCCTGGGAGACAAAGAGAGGCTCCCTCTCAAAAAAAAAAAAAAAAAAAAGAAGAAGAAGAAAGAAAAATATTGTCTTTTAATGTGGTGTGGTGGCATGCACCTGTAGTCTCATCTACTTGGGAGGCTAAGGGCGGAGGACTGCTTCAGGGCAGGATTCATGGCTGCACTGAGCTGTGATTGCCACTGCACTCCAGTGTGGTTGACTGGGCGAGACCTTGACTTCTTAAAAAGGAAAAAAAGAAGTTATTTTCTAAATGGAAAATAGCCAAATTCAGTGTTTAAAATCCTTAATTAGAATAGCATATTACCAAACCAAAACAATTTACTGTTTTTACTGCTTCTATGTGGGATGGTTGATCTTGAGCCTGCAGGGAGCAAGCTGGCCCCAGATTTCTCCAAGTCCACATTTCTTTGCCTCCAATTCTTACATGTCCAAAGACAAGGAACTATAGACATGCCTTTGTAGGAGGGTGAATATATTATTTTCAAATTTTTTTTTTTTACTGTTTCTCAAATAAGTATTATTTTTAAAGAGGGACTACCATAGGATTCTCTGGGAATATTTTTTCACTAATCTTTATTCTCTTATTCTTTTTTGTTTTTTTGGAGACGGAGTTCTGCTTGTTGCCTAGGCTGGAGTGCAGTGGCATGATCTCGGCTCACCGCAACCTCTGCTTTCCAGGTTCAAGCAATTCTCCTGCTTCAGCCTCCCAAGCATCCGGGGTTACAGGCATGCACTACCATGCCCAGCTAATTTTGTATTTTTAGTAGAGACAGGGTTTCACCATGTTGGCCAGGTTGGTCTCAAACTCCAGACCTCAGGTGATCCACCCACCTCAGCCTCCCAAAGTGCTGGGATTACAGGCATGAGCCACCATGCCCGTCCTATTCTCTTATTCTTAAGAGATAATTAAGGGTGCAACATATTAACAGCCCCTTCCTGTTGTCTCACATCAAGGTTAAGGAAATTCTTGGAAAAGGGTCATAATGAAGAATCAGGAATTTAAGATAAATTAAAATTCTATGGTGTAGAATTATGGATTTAGAAATCTAGTAAATGCGAGCCTCTCCATTTCTAACTGCAGTGGTTTGGTTTTATGAGGGAAGAGATTCCTATAGCCTAGGAGACAAGAAGTCAGCTCTTGAATCCAGGTGCTGACCTTGAATACAACTTTTTTTACAGATTGTTCCCAGCACCAAATCAAATTAAAAAAATAATCTCACCTGGTTCAAGGTAGGAGGGTGTATTCCAGGAAGAGTCAAAGTAGCATTTTCGCTACACTTTAGATAAAGGAAATACAAATACTTGAGAAACAGCTGGGTGGAAAAAAAAAAAATGGACAATTTAGCACTTTGATAGAAAAACTTCCTCTTATTATATAAACCAGTCAAGAAGACTAAAAAAAATTTTAAGAGGATGTTCAGTTTAACTATACATCAAACAAATATGTCAGACATCTGGACACAAAAATGAGTAAAATGCAGTCCCTCCCATTAATGAAGAGCTCATCTGGTTTGGGGGTAGTGGTGGTGATAAGCTTATTGTTTACAAATAATAGGTAAAGGAAAGAGAACCCTTGTCTCAGCAACTCTTTTTATAGTGTTTACTCATTTATAACTTAGGAAGCTTAACTTGGCCTTCAAGTTTGGCACAAGGAATATGCCATGGTCTATCAGCCTAGAATCACTCTAGTTTTCTCAGTAGGAGTTTGCCATGATAGCTGGACAATCTCTTATTCACATAAAAGAATTTGATAACCTTTAGAATGCTCTAACAGCTGGTTACAGTTAAATAGCAAAATTTAAACTGGAAGTAAAATTCTATACTTGTATGAACACTTACTGTGATATGCTGTGCTGGGATGTCTTTCAAGTGAGGCAGAAGAAATGTTTCACTATACGCTGAATGAAGAATTGCATTACTTAGGACTAAAGGAAAAGCTTATTTCAATAATTTATACAAAACTTTTATGTCTCTAAAAGAGCTCTATCACCACTCTCCTAATAATTGGAGAACATGTGGAATACTTTAATTGCTATTTATTCAGAATACTAATCTTCGGAATTGATAGAGCTTCTGTGGTAGTATAGCTTCTTCTTCCTCTTCTTCTTCTTTTTTTTTTTTTTAAATCTGATGTAGAGATGGGGGTCTTGCCATGCTACCCAGGCTGGTCTCGGATTCCTGGGCTCAGACAATCCTCTTGTCTAAGCCTCCCAAAGTACTGGGATTACAGGCATGAGCCACATGCCCAGCCTAGTATAGCTTTTTAATTAAAACATGTTTAAGTAAACCTTACTTAATGTGGCACTGAACATAATCTATTTTCAAACAGAAATAAAAACCAATTGGAAAAGGAAAGAAAAATCTTAAATTACTTTGTTACTCCTTAGTTATTGCTTGGCAAATAACTATACCCTGTAAAGAGAAATAGAAGGATGTTCTATTTCAAAGGATACAGTAGAGCTGCTCTTTTTGGTATCACAGGGCATGAAGTGGTCTCCTTTGTTTTGGCCTGGGGCTCTTCATTTAACTCTTGATCACACTTATTGCATTCATCTTCTACAGGATTGAAACCATTTTGAAGAATTTCAGTTTGCTCTTCCATTTTCTCATCATGTACAGAATTACTACAGTCAAAAACTGACTCCATATTGACATCTGTTTCTTGAAGACTGTCATCAGCAATGCTATGATGTTAAGTGAAAGCAAGAGGTTAATCCTTATCACCAAACTTTTAGGAAAAATTTCATTTTCTAAGCATCGAAGTTTTAGAAATCAAATAATGTAACAGATTACAAAGTGAAGAAAAAGGACCATTAGAGTGTAACTTACCTTAGGAAAATTTTTAAGCAAGCACAGGTAACCAATTCAGGAATGTCAGGGAAGTGCTGTAGACAGAGTTGTAACAACTGTACATCTTTCTTTTGTAAGGCAATCTCCATTAAGTCGGGGCACAGACTAAGACAAAAAAATCTGAATGACTAATACATATTAAGACCCTCAAATGCAGATAATTTATAAGCCTTTTCAGAGTTTCAGAAGCTAAGAACTATAAAAAACAAGGTCAGAAGAGTCATGCACGTACAGTTTGGTACACACAAATAGCTACCTGTAAGAAAGCACATGTGTTTGGGTAAGCTGCATCAGACAGTTCCGGGGATAAAATGATGGTTCTGCTTTACATCTTTCCAGAAGTCCTGTTACTGTGTCCCCAATTACAGTATGAAAGTCAGGTGTCTGCTTAATAGCCAAAAATTTCCGTAGTTCTACTTCAATGTGTTTTTCTGAATCTTTCTGAAAGGGCAGAATTAAAGAATTCCATTTGGCACATTAATAATCTCACTCTGAACTCAAAAGTTTCCTGAACATTTTGTCAAATGACTAACAGTTTTCATGCATTTCTGCAAAGCTGGAGTTGATACTGCAGAGTTAAATAAGAAACAGGTAAGATAACACTGTATCAATCTCACCAGGTGACAGCGAGCATCAAAGAAGCCAAAATATTGGATCAGCTCTGACACCCTTAAGACACTACACAGATGTTAGCTATAGCTATAAAGATGATCATAAAAATAAGACAGAATGAGTAGTAGTAGATAGGATTTCTTTGAAACACTTGAGTGGGATTTTTCATATTTCTATTATTATTTATTTACCATTATGGTTGACAAAAGTTGTTTGGATGGTGGAACCTCTGGCTGTAAACTCACTTCAATTTTTCGTCTCCTTAACTGGAATCAAGTAAATTGATTAGGATCACAAAACAATACAAGAGATCCAATATACATTTAGAGAGATATCAAACACTCCAAAGAGATTAGCACATTTTGCTCTCATCAAAAACTTTTGAAAATAAATATAACTAATAGACTACATGTGGTATTTCTGGATAAAGAATGTGAGGTTACTGAGTTCAAGCCTCAAACTGTCCTGTCATTAACATCAAATCTGTAAGAGTTGTAAGGATATGATTCACTAAAATAATTCGGTCTTTTTCTGTTTTTCAACATTCACACTAATATTTCAATTTCAGCCATGAAACTTACGATTCTTCTTGACTGCTCTGAGTTCTGGGCTCCAAGTCCACATTCTTGAGGTGTTTCCCAGTTTACAAAATGGGGCACGACATGAGTTCCTAAGAAGATGCAAAATGCACAATTTCTGGAACGTTCTGACTTACTGATTTTTACCCAACTAAACAATCAAACAAAGAACAATTTAAAAAACCCACTCATACAATTTAAGAGGGACTTTGAAGCCCATGTAATTCTGCTGATAACCTCTGATAAGTAAATCGTAATATAGTAAAAAGGCTGTATGTCCAACAACATTAAGCCAACAGATGAGCCCATCAGTAAACAAGGGAGGACAGAGGCATTACTGATTTTGTTTTGGGGGTTCTCCCATTGCTCCTAAAGTAAGAAGAACACTGGCATTCAAAACACAGTATAGGCTCACGCCTGTAATCCCAGCACTTTGGGAGGCCGAGGCCGGTGGATCACAAGGTCAAGAGATCGAGACCATCCTGGCCAACATGGTGAAACTCCGTCTCTACTAAAAAATACAAAAATAAGCTGGGCATGGTGGTGCATGCCTGTAGTCCCAGCCACACGGGAGGCTGAGGCAGGAGAATTGCTTGAACCCGGGAGGCGGAAGTTGCAATGAGCCGAGATCAAGGACTATTAACAAGTTTCAAACTTGGTTTTTTTTTTTTTTTTTTCCTTTTTCTGCGGAGAATGGGGTTTTACTATGTTGCCCAGGCTGGTCTTGAACTCCTGGGCTCAAACTATCCTCCCACCTCTGCCTCCTTAAGTGTTGGGATTACAGGCATGAGACACTGTGCCTGGCCTGTTCACAAGTTTCGATAAATAGTGATAAATTTCAAAATTAAGAACAAGCTTTACAAATAAAAGACTGTTGGAAGCTATATGAAACTAAAGGTTAATAAAATGGTTTGTATTAATAAAACAAACGTAAGTTTCTACCTGGATCTTGACTATGCTTGAGTTTTCCAAGAGCACTTGCTAATGATGACACTTCACACTTATATGGAATCACAGTCAGAGATCTTCCATGTAGCATAAACAAATTTTCCCCATAATACCAGAGCTACAAAAAAAGTTATCCAAAACATAAGCAAATTTTTTTTCTCTTCTAAGATCTGATTCAATAAAGCTTTATCACTTATTGTATAAGCTCTCAGTATTAAAAAGAACAAGGTAAAGTCAAGCAACTTCCCAGAAGAATTTCATATGTAGAGCTTATTAAATAGGCTTATTTCTGCCCAAGTCTGAATGAAGCATAAAGAATATTTTCCACTCAGAAAATTGTAATCAACATATACATTTTAGAAACCTCAATTGTTTAAAATTAATGCTGTCACTATTATACATCTACTAACGTAATAATTACCAAGGCTATTATAACATGGGCAAACTTCTAATGCACTGAATTTAAAAACCAGAATTTAACACTTTATATCTTATGATTGTAAAAATAAGACAGGTATATGGAAAAAAAAAATCCTGAAGGAACAATGAAATAAAAAAATAAGTTTGCAATAATAATAAAATGATAAAGCAAATAAAATAATAAGTTATAAATTGATAGCTGCTGCTATGAGAGAAAAAGAAAAACAAAACAAAACAACAACAAAATAGTAAGTTGTAATAAGAAAGTTTGTGAGTTTATTTACAATAAAAAATTATGGGCTGGGCCGGGCGCGATGGCTCAAGCCTGTAATCCCAGCACTTTGGGAGGCCGAGGCAGGTGGATCACGAGGTCGAGAGATTGAGACCATCCTGGTCAACATGGTGAAACCCCGTCTCTACTACAAATACAAAAATTCAGCTGGGCATGGTGGCGCGTGCCTGTAATCCCAGCTACTCAGGAGGCTGAGGCAGGAGAATTGCCTGAACCTAGGAGGCGGAGGTTGCGGTGAGCCGAGATCGCGCCATTGCACTCCAGCCTGGGTAACAAGAGTGAAACTCTGTCTCAAAAAAAAAAAAAAAAAAAAAAAAAATTATGGGCTGGGCATGGTGGCTCACGCCTGTAATCCCAGCACTTTGGGCAGCCGAGGTGGGTGGATCATGAGGTCAGGAGATCGAGACCATACTGGCTAACATGGTGAAATCCATTCTCTACTAAAAATATAAAAAATATAAAAAATTAGCCAGGTATGGTGGCACGCGTGCCTGTAGTCCCAGCTACTTGGGAGGCTCAGGCAGGAGAATTGCTTGAACCCAGGAGGCAGAGGTTGCAGTGAGTGGAGATGGCACCACTGCACTCCAGCCTGGGCAACTGAGCGAGACTCTGTCTCAAAAAAAAAAAAATTGTGAATAGTTAATTTTGTTAAAATTACTTGTTCACATATAAATTATAATTAAATTATATGCTAAGAAACCTTGTCTCTTTATTCTCAAATTAGAATTACCAAAACATCCTGTTGCCTTGATTTATATTTTATTTGTATATGAATATTCATTCACAAAGTAACTAAAACTTACTGTGCACCTTGCTAAGCATTGAAAATACAAGAGAGAACAAAACACAAAAGGAACCCTGCCTCAGGAAGTTCACAGTCTGGTCAGCTTCACTTTTAATTCATTTAAGTATTTTAATATAATTTCATGGTAACAATTAACATATAATCTAAAAGATTAATGTATTAGAAAAAGTAACAGCTTGAGGCTGTGTAGTTCAAAACATGTAAGTAAAAAGACAAAACAAAAGAGCAGCTAAAAACAAAAGCTGTTTTGTTAAATAGTTAACTGTTCTGGCAATAATTTAGAATTTTGGGAGTGATAAACATAAGGAAGTGATTTTAACAATAACTAAACTAAACATAATCTCTCAGGCAAAAAAAAAATTTCTTAATTTAATCAATAACTGCCAAAAATATTGATCAATAGATTGATTGATTGAGATGGGATCACACTATGTTGCCCAGGCTGGAATGAAGCAGCTATACACGGGCACAATCATATAGCACTGTAGCCTTGAACTCCTGCCTCAACCTCCTCCGTAGCAGGGACTACAGACACACACCACCACACCTGGCTTGAAAAGCTGCCAAAATATTTAGGTCCAAAGAGACCTTACAGCATATTTATTAGGCACAAAAATAACTACATTTCTGAGGCAGAAAGATCACTTGAGCCCAAGAGTTCAAGACCAGCCTGGGCAACACAGTGAGGCCCCATCTCAAAACAAAACAAAACAAAACACAACAAAATAACGAAATCAGAGAAAGTACTCAAGTGAAACAACTTACTTGACCACTGGTCCCTTGTGGTAACTCTTTTGAAGTCTGTAGTGTTTGAAATTTTATGTTCCATACAGAGAGGCATTCTATAAAATAAGACATACAAATTCAGAAAAAGTCCCAGGTACAAACATGTAAGTTTTGCTTTAATTTAGTATACAAATGAGTTATGAATACAGTGATTGTCATATGAGCTGGAAGAAATGAGAGCTCTTGGTAAGAAACAGCCTGGGAAGGTGAGCCCTGAGGAAGGGAGGGCTTTATGAATCGGGAATAACAGTGAAAAACACCCAACAAAGAAAAGCCCAAGGCCAGATGGCTCCATTGGTAAATTCTACAAATTTAAAAATGAACACTAAATCTTCCCAAACTCTTTCAAAATACAAAAGAACAGGAAATAAATCCACTCAGGCTTTTGGTTACTCTGATACCAAAGCCAGACAAAAGACACCATACAAAAAAACTACAGTGCAATAACCCCGTGTATATAGATGCAAAACAAAAAATCCTCATCAAAATACCAACAAACCAAATCCAACGGCAAATATTAAGATCCATGACCAAAGTGGGATTTATTCCAGGGATGAAAGGGTAGTTCAACAAATGAAAACCAATCAGTGTAGTACATACATCAACAGAACAAAGGGTTAACCATATGATCACCTCAGTTGACACAAAGCATTGTACAAACTCCAACACTCTTTTATGACAAAATCTCAGAAAGCTAGGAAGAGGAAGGAACATCCTTAACATGATAAAGAGCATCTGTGAAAAACCCACAATTACCATCACTCAACAGTGAAAGACTAAAAGCTTTCCCCCTAAGATAAGGAAAAAGACAAGGGTCCTGCCCTGCCCTCTTCCCCACTGCTATTCTACACAACTATCATTACACTGAGTGGTTAAAGACTGAAAACTTCCTCCCTAAAATGAGGAACGACACAAGGAGGCTTATTTTTACCACTTCTATTCAAGTTCTAGTCAGAGTAACTAGGCAAGAAGAAAAACAAAAATCCAAATTTTGTTTGTTTTAAGACAGAGTCTCACTGTCGCCCAGGCTGAAGTGCAGTGGCATGATCTCAGCTCGCTGCAACCTCTGACTCCTGGGTTTAAGCGATTCTCCTGCCTCAGCCTCCCAAGTAGCTGGGATTACAGGTGCATGCCACCACACCCGGCCAATTTTTTTGTATTTTTAGCAGAGATGGGGTTTCACCATGACGACCAGGCTGGTCTCGAACTCCTAGCCTCAGATGATCCACCCGCCTCAGCTTCCCAAAGTGCAGAGGTTTACAGATGTGAGCTACCACACCTGGCGAAAATCCAAATTTAAATGGAGGTAAAACTAACTCTATTCACAGATGACATGATCCTGTATAGAGAAGATCCCAAACAATCCACAGGAAAAGATCAGCATTAATTCAGCAAAGTTGTAGGGTACAAGATCAACATACAAAAATCAGATGCTCCTATATACTAAAAATGAAAAGGAAATTAAGAAAAAAAATTCCATGTATATTAGCATCCAAAAAGAACAAAATACCTAGGAATAAATTTAACCAAGGAAGTGAAAGCATGTACACTGAAAGTTATAAAGCACTGCTGAATAAAACTAAGGAGGACATAAACAAATAGAGACATCCTGTGTTCATCAATTGGAAGATTTAATATTAATATGGCAATACTGCACAAAGCAACCTACAGGCTCAGTTCAATCTCTGTCAAAATTCCAACAGTCTTTTTTGCAGAAATGGAAAAGCCAACCTTTAAAATCACGTGGAATAATTGCAAGGGGCCTAAACAGCAAAAACAAACTTGAAAGGGAAGAACAAATTTAGAGAGCTCATGCTTCCTGATTTCCAAACTGACTATAAAGTTACAGTAATCAAAACGGTGTGGTACTGGCCCAGTGCAATAGACTGAAAGTCAGCTAGGGCCAACTGATTATTCAACAAATGTGTCAGGACCATTGAGGTGCTGGGACAACTGAAGAGCCACATGCAAAGGAATAAAATTAGTCCCTTATTTTACACCTTACACAAAAATAATTAAAAATGGATCAACAACCTAAATATAAGCTAAAACTGCCAGGTGTGGTGGCTCATGCCTGTAATCCCAGCACTTTAGGAGGCTGAGGTGGCTGGATCACAAGGTCAGGAGTTGGAGACAGCCTGACCAGCATGGTAAAACCCTGTCTCTACTAAAAATTCAAAAATTAGCTGGGTGTGCTGGCACATGCCTGTAATCCCAGCTACTCAGGAGGCTGAAGGAGGAGAATTGCTTGAACCCGGGAGGCAGAGGTTTCAGTGAGTCGAGATCACGCCACTGTACTCCAGCCTGGGTGACAGAGCAAGATTCTGTCTCAAAAAAAAAAAAAAAGAAAAAAAGGCCGGGCGCGGTGGCTCAAGCCTGTAATCCCAGCACTGTGGGAGGCCGAGGCGGGTGGATCACGAGGTCAAGAGATCGAGACCATCCTGGTCAACATGGTGAAACCCCGTCTCTACTAAAAATACATAAAATTAGCTGGGCATGGTGGCGCGTGCCTGTAATCCCAGTGACTCAGGAGGCTGAGGCAGGAGAATTGCCTGAACCCAGGAGGCGGAGGTTGCGGTGAGCCGAGATCGCGCCATTGCACTTCAGCCTGGGTAACAAGAGCAAAACTCCGTCTCAAAAAAATAAATAAATAAATAAATAAAAAAGAGCTAAACCACAACATTCTTTGAAGAAAATGTGGGGATAAGTCTTTATGACCTTAGATTTGGCCATGGATTCTTGGATGTGGCACCAAAAGCACAAGCAACAAAAGAAAAGCAAAAACTGGACTTCATGAAACTTAAAACTTTTATGCACCAGGGACATTATCAAGAAACTGAAGACAACTTATGGAATGGGAGAAAATATTTGTAAATTGTATGTCTGATAAGGGTCTAGTAACTAGAATGTATAAAGAATGCTTATAATTCAACAACAAAAAGACAAACAACCTAATTTAAAAATAGGCAAAGGACTCAAATAGACATTTCTCCAAAGACATATAAACAGCCAATGAGCATATGAAAAAATGTTCAACACCCTTAGTCATTAGGGAAATGCAAGTCAAAACCAAACTGAGGTACCACCTCACACCCACTAGGATAACCAGAATCCAAAATAAGGAAAATAGTCACGTGTGAGCAAGAATGTAGGAAAACTGGGAACCATTGTACAATGCTAGTGGGAATGTAAAATGGTTCGGCCACTGTGGAGTTTGGCAGTTCTTCGAAAAGGTAAACACAATCAATAACTAAAAGTGTATAACTAAAATGTCTGTAACGTGAAGAAATGACAAATGCCTGAGGTGATGGATACCCCATTTACTCTGATGTGATTATTATGCATTGCATGCTTGTATCAAAATATCTCAGGTACCCTTTAAATACATATAAATTATACCCATAAAAATTAAAAAATGAAAAGTTAAATGTAGAATTAACATACGACCCAGTAATTCCCCTTCTAGGTAGGTTATATCCCAAAGAACTAAAAACTGGTACACAAACAAATACACGCACACCAATGTTCATAGCATTATTCACAATAACCAAAAGGTGGAAATAGCTGAAATATCCAGGAATGGATGAACAGATAAACACACTGTGTTATATACATAAAATGGAATATTTTTATACCCTGAAAAGGAATGAAACACTCATACATGTAACAATGTAGATGAACCTCAAAAACATTTGGCTAGCCAGGCATGGCAGCTCATGCCTGTAATCCCAACACTTTGGGGAGGCTGAGGCAGGAGCATCTCATAGCAAGACCTTCATTGCTACTAAAAACTAAATACAAGGAAGCCAGACACAAAAATTATTGTATGATTTCATTTACACAAATATTCCTAATAGGTAAATCCGTAGAAGAATGGAGATTGGTGGTTGCCAGGGGTAGGGGGTGGAGGAGAATGAGGAGCAACTGCCTAATGGGTCCAGAGATTCCTTTTGACACGATGAAAACGTTTTAAAACTAGATAGAAGTTGGCCAGGTGCAGTGGCTCACGCTTGTAATTCCAGCACTTTGGGAGGCTGAGGTGGGTGGATCACACTTGAGGTTAGGAGTTCAAGACCAGCCTGACCATCACGGTGAAACACCATCTCTACTAAAAACAGAAAAAAAAAAAAAAAAGTAGCCAGGCGTGGTGGTGCATGCCTATAATCCCAGCTACCTGGGAGGCTGAGGCAGGAGAATCGCTTGAACCCAGGAGGTAGAGGTTGCAGTGAGCTGAGATCCTGTCATTGCACTCCAGCCTGGGCAACAAGAGTAAAACTCCATCTAAAAAAAACCACAAACTGGGCCGGGCGCGGTGGCTCAAGCCTGTAATCCCAGCACTTTGGGAGGCCGAGGCGGGTGGATCACGAGGTCAAGAGATCGAGACCATCCTGGTCAACATGGTGAAACCCCGTCTCTACTAAAAATACAAAAAATTAGCTGGGCATGGTGGCGCGTGCCTGTAATCCCAGCTGCTCAGGAGGCTGAGGCAGGAGAATTGCCTGAACCCAGGAGGCGGAGGTTGCGGTGAGCCGAGATCGTGCCATTGCACTCCAGCCTGGGTAACAAGAGTGAAACTCTGTCTAAAAAAAAAAAAAAAAAAAAACCCACAAACTATACAGAAGTGGTAGCTGCACAACAAAAGCCAGTGGATCGTTCACTTTAAAGTAGTTCATTTTTCTTCTACAAGGGCCTACCAAAAATTAAAAATAGATGAAAGTAAAAAATGAAAAAAGAAAGTAAAAAAGAGGATTAAAAACTTTTCAAAATAAAAGTTCATTTTATATTATGTGAATTTCATCTTAATTTAAAAAAACAGAATGTATGGTTCATGTATGGCAATAGGAGAGTGATGAAACACATTGTGGGGCAGCCATTCAGTGAAATTCAATGAAATAGTACGCAGCTATTAAAACAAGGAAGAGAAAAGAATAATATCATATGCAAAGATGTCTGAAAGATCTTGGGTAGGTGAATAAACAAGGTACACAAACAGTATGTATGGTGTGCTACCACGTGTGTTAAACGAGGGAAAAGCCCTTAAGCAGTAGTATTTGCTTGTATATGGACCAAAAAAAAAAAAAAAAACAAAAAACCGTGGAAAGAGACACAGGAAACTCTAGAGTAGCTAGTGGGGTTTTTTGGGCAGGGAAGTAAAGCAGGAATAACAAAGAGAGGAAGATGGGAGGAGAGAGAGGAGAGGCACAGCATAGCCAAGTGGTAAAGGGCCAGGACTTAAGAGTGGCAGGGGAAGTGGCCTAACAGAGTTAACCTGTTCCGGTTGAATCCCAGTTCTACTACTAATAATCATCCCTAAAAGAGGGTTGATAACTGTATTTCCTCCCATATGGTTGTTAGAGGAGTAAATGATACAAATAATGAGATAATCTTAGTAAAGTACCAGGCACACTGTTTAGTTATAACTAGGAGCTCCTGTTTCTTTTTTTCTTTGAAACAATCTCACTCTCTCGATTAGGCTGAATGGAGTGGTGCAATCTCGGCCTCCAGGGTTTGTGCATCAACATGCCCAGCTAACTTTTTGTATTTTCAGTAGAGACATGGGGTTTCACCATGTTGGCCAAGCTGGTCTCAAACTCGTGGCCTCAAGCAAACTGCCTGTCTTAGCCTCCCAAAGCGCTGGGATTAGAGGCGTGAGCCACCATGCCAGGCAGGAGCTCTTATCTTAATAATAAGCAGGAGAAACACAGAACAAAGTACACAGGTGAGGATGGGCATATCAAGTGTGTAGTCAATAGAGAGCCTCCCCTGAATAAAGCAGAGAGTTCTTGCTCAGAATTTGGGAGAAAACGTTGGAAAAGGTGGATGGGTCTAGACCATGAAGGGACTTATGCCAAATGATGGATTCCGAGTTTTCTAGTGAAGGCTGGGGTCTGCGATCCTCCACTGGCAAGGAGCAATCGTGTTCTTCATGACAGACTAAAAAGTCTGGAGGGGAGTTGGTGGGTAGGAAGGTGAGGTGGTGATGAGAATCCTATTCAGAAGTCACAGAGACTAAAGGCACACTATTAGGTCCCACATTTCAAAGTGTCCATGTCCAGTGGATTTCCATGCTGTGAAATGTTGCTAGGAATCCAATCCTCAAATGCAAGGCTTACTAATGTTTCAAATACCTGCAGGCTAGTATAAAGGAGTGTTTTTGAAAGATTAATCAGCCAGGCACGGTGGCTCATGCCTGTAATCCCAGCATTTTGGGAGGCTGAGGCAGGTGGATCATGAGGTCAGGAGTTCGAGACCAGTCTGGCCAACAGGGTGAAGCCCCATCTCTACTAAATATACAAAAACTAGCTGGGCGCGGTAGCTCACGCCTGTAGTCCCAGCTATTCAGGAGGCAGAGGTTGCAGTGGGCTGAGATTACACCACTGCACTCCAGCCCAGGCGAGAGAGTGAGACTGTGTCTCAAAAAAAAAAAAGATCAATGCAAAATAAAAATAAAAAGCCAATTCAAGATGAATTAGGAAAGTACAAAAAGAACTGAGTATGCTGATAAAGAGAATGAGCTAGGCTGGGAATAACGAAATGAAAAAGAAAAGGAAGACTAAAAGAGACACTGTGAAGGAAAAATACAAAGGCTTTCTTAATTAATTGGATTTCAGTTACCCTTAGAAGCTGCTAGTGGACTTCCCAGGACTGCGATGTGATCCTGATCCAGGACAGTGACTGCAACTCCATGTCGAGTGTTACCAGATACAACAGCCTTGAATAACAGTGATCTAACTAAGCTCTGATTTTTTTCTGGGTCAGTTGGACGTATTGGTATCAAGGTTTCATATATACAACCATCAGTGCCTATTGGAAACAAGCATTTGTTGGTGGTTATTGAAGAGCACTTCTGTATCTATTAAAGTGTACTAGGTTGTTTTTAAGATTTTACCAATTTGATAAAAGCCAACCAGAAAAATAAACAAGCCCATCACTGTGGTTTCTCTTAAAGAACACTATAAATTTAAACTGGGGAAAGGAGCATTATTAATAAAAATCTCAGTAAGAAATATAATAGTCAAGAAATACAAACTGTAAATACCTGCAATAACTTAAAATATTCAGAGGGAACTGCAAAGAATATAGATAATCTAGTCCCTAAAAGGATATATCCCTCATTAGAAACTAGCATCTGGTCTATACATTCTATTTCTTTGCTTGTTTGTTTTTTTGAGGCAGGGTCTCACTCTGTGGCCCAAGACTGTAGTGCAGTGGTGTGATCACAGCTCACTGTAGCCTCAACCTCCTGGGCTCAAGTGATCTATCTTTCCATCTCAGGCTCCCAAACAGCTGGGACTACAGGTGTACACACCTCATCCAGCTAATTAAAAAAAAATTTTTTTTTTTTAGAGATAGGGTCTCCAGCTCCTGGGCTCAAGCGATCCTCCTGCCTTGGTCTCCCAAAGTGCTAGGATTACAGGTGTGAGCCACTGTGCTCAGTCTGTTATAATTCTTCCTACCCAATCACCCTGAAGACCATATGAAATTGCTCTTTCTTGTGGGCCAACTGAATTTCGGCAGTTTCATGTGATTCTAGCTATTGCTACATAAAGATTTATATGACCCTTTGGTTTAGACTTCCTCACTTCAAAGTTCATTAAGCTAAATATTAAGTACATTCCAATAACCCCCGAGATATGAGAATGATAGAAGCCTTTTAAAAAACAGCCACTGCAAACATCTGTACATTGAAAAACTTCACAAAGATTTTTAGCTGTGATAATACGGAAATGTTTCCTAAATACTGCTCATTTATTTCTCCATCACCTTCTCAGAACAACTTCAAAAGCAACTGTGAAGCGTGGAGGGGAGAGGATACTACAAAGACTTTTTTTTTTCTTTTTTGCCCTAGAGGTCTAAGACTGGGATTATACTTTAGATCATTTCATACAGGTAGACTCTAAGGCATTACAGTCTGTAAAAAGCAAGTGGCATGGGCCAAAGCTGCTGTTAGTTTCCTTTTGCCCATCTGTCTCAGTCACTATTCAAAGAAGGGCACACTAAATTTAATGGCTGGAAAAAAGGAGCAGAGGGACCATTCAATGCCAAGCATAGACCATTTATGGTTCACTAATTACACTCTCCAAGAACCTGGGCCTTATCGCCTAAAAGGTGATTTCTCTTTTTCATTGGTATTAATATTGTTACTTACTGCTTACAGTACATTTTAAGGCATAAAATGTAGAGAAGCAATGTTTGAAAATGATGCTGTAAGGCCGGGCGCGGTGGCTCAAGCCTGTAATCCCAGCACTGTGGGAGGCCGAGGCGGGTGGATCACGAGGTCAAGAGATCGAGACCATCCTGGTCAACATGGTGAAACCCCGTCTCTACTAAAAATACAAAAAATCAGCTGGGCATGGTGGCGCGTGCCTGTAATCCCAGCGACTCAGGAGGCTGGGGCAGGAGAATTGCCTGAACCCAGGAGGCAGAGGTTGCGGTGAGCTGAGATCACGCCATTGCACTCCAGCCTGGGTAACAAGAGCGAAACTCCGTCTCAAAAAGAAAAAAAAAAAAAAAAAATGATGCTGTACCTAAAGTACTTCAGTAGGCCCTCAAAACACAGCATCACTGATCTAACACATGGCCAGACATGCAAAGTACAGAAAGTGAAGGCATGGGCCGGATGTGGTGGCTCACGCCTGTAATCGCAGCACTTTGGGAGGCCAAGGCAGGAGGATTACCTGAGGTCAGGAGTTCGAGACCAGCCTGGCCAACATGGTGAAACCCTGTCTATACTAAAAACACAAAAATGAGCTGGGCGCAGTGGTAGGCACCTGTAATTCCAGCTACTTGGGAGGCTGAGGCAGGAAAACTGTTTGAACTTGGGAGGCAGAGGTTGCAGTGAGCAGAGGTCATACCACTGGCACTACAGCCTCGGCAACAGAGCGAGAATGTCCCCCCAAAAAAGTGAAAGCATGAATGCTGTAAGAAAGCACAAAAAGGGCTGTAATGGAATGCTTCACAAAGTCTACAATTCAAAAACATACACTATCCTGTAATATTCCTCTATTTATAATCTCTGAAAGCTCAAAGAAAGAAAACTTACTTACTTAATGACATCAAAGAGATGAATTTTCTATCTACAGATGCTGTAAAACTCTCTATAACAGAGTTTTCATCTTGTCCAAATAAGAGTGTATATTTGCTTAAGACACGTGAGTTAAACATTTGTACGTAAGCAAAGTAATTGCCATGCTGCAAAAAAAAAAGAATTTATAAATATTTCCATTTCAACCAACTACCTTTACATTATGTTAAAACCAGTTGTTTCCCCATTCTAATTACATCAATGAGTACTTAAAAAACATCTTGTCCAATTAAATTTAAAATGTTGATTTTTTTTTTTTTTGTTTGTTGGTCTGTTTTGAGACAGGGTCTTGCTCTGTGTGGCCCAGGCTGGACTACAGTGGTGTGATCTTGGCTCACTGCAACCTCCACCTCCCAGGCTCAAGCAATCCTCCTGCCTCAGCCGCCCCAGTATCTGGGAATACAGGTGTGCACTACCACGCTCCACTATTTTTCTTTTTTTACTAGAGACGAGGTCACTACATCGAGCCTTAAATTTAAGAGGTTATTAAAAACCTAGAGATCTTCTGAGAGAATAATAAAGTCCCATTTTAGTTTAAAAATTTATGATTTTGAAATTTCACAGCTGGGCACAGTGGCTCACGCCTGTAATCCCAGGACTTCAAAAGGCCAAGGTGGGAGGATCCCTTGAGCCCAAGGAGTTTCGAGACCAGCATGGGCAACAGAGTGAGACCCTGTCTCTGCAAAACATAAAACATAAGCCAGGCATGGGTAGTGCATGCCTGGAGTCCCAGCTACTCAGCAAGCTGAGGGAGGAGGATCGCTTGAGCTAGGAGGTTGAGGCTGCAGTGAACCATGATGGCACCATTGCACTCAAGCCTGGGTGACACGGCAAGACCCTTTCTCTAAGTAAAATTTTTTAAAAAAGAAATTTCACAAATTGGGCCAGGAATTGAAGATATCACTTACTTTTTCAGTAATAAAAATTAAAACAGGATGCCTGAATACTATGAAAAACTTTGTCCATCTACAAAAGAAAAAAAAATTATAAGATGCAAAAATCACCAGCTGGGAGAAATGTTATCAGTCAAAGTTTAATCAGCTTTCACTAAATATTTTTTAGAATCAGAGAACACTTAATATGGTGTTTCAAAACATGTACCACACGGAGTATGCATTTGTTAAATGCAGCTCTGGATTAAATGCAGGTTGTTGACCTCCCCAGATGATAATATGAATTGTTAGGTTCTAAGAGGGGTGATGCAGTGCTCCCTAAACTTAAATTGACTCCCCATCCCATTTTTTTCATTTACTTTTGGGACTTGTGTTCTGAGGAAAACATTAAGATCTTATTATTCAAGTGACAGAGGAAACTGAGGCACAGAGAAATTATCAGCCCATAGTCAGTTTGTGGCAAAGTGGCAACTAGAACTCAAATCCTCCAAAGACTTCCCTCATAACAGTTGCTCACGCCTTAGAGGTATTCATCAAGTCAGTCTAACATATAACAAGTTATTGTCCACCTTGTAAGTATATGTGTTCACTCTGACTTTTGGAAAATTAGTTTCTACCAGGTGGACCTGGAAAGAACAAGTCAAATGAAGAGGAAATGTGATGAAATAAAGAAGATCGGAAAGATGTGAAATCACGAAATGCCCTTCTGTCCCCTGAAGTGTCACTTTTCCAGTTTTATTTCAGAATTTTAACACACATCAGGATTTCACTAACAAGATGCACTTTTAGCCAGGGGAAAAGGATGGGAGCTTGGTAGTCAGGGCAATATGACAGACAAAAAAAAAAAAAGATTCTGGTCTTTTGGGATAACCCATCTCATCCTCAAATAACTGAGTATCCAGTTCTGTCAAGACCTCATATGACTCCACAGTTTCTTCAATAATCATGTCCAGAAGCTTTTTAGAGTGTTATCTCAGTCAATGTTTTACAAGTAATTTTAAATTAGGTCATTTTTATTATGTTTATAACTAAAATACTTTTGAACAAGGCAAAAAACATTCAGTGCATTTTTATTTTGATAAATGTACTTATAAGTATTGGAACTTACTTAATCACTTCTTCATCGGAGATAACAGTTTCAATTTTCTGCTGGGGCTCTGCAAGCAAGGCCTCTAAACCACGAACAGCACCTTCCTTGAAGAGCACCAAGGGCTCTGTCCCTTGCACTGAAAGTATCCTATATACTTCAGCTGACAACTGGAAGAACATAAAAAATTTAATTTTTATTCTAAAACAACTTATACCTAATATAAGTAATATAAGGATATTTAGATAAGTCTTTTTTTTTTTTTTTTGAGACAGAGTTCTGCTCTGTCACCCATGGTGGAGTGCAGTGACACAATCTCGGCTCATCACAACCTCCGCCTCCCGGGTTCAAGGGATTCTCCTGCCTCAGCCTCCCAAGTAGCTGGGATTACAGGCGCACACAACCATGCCTGGCTGAATTTTGTATTTTTAGTAGAGAGGGGGGTTTCATCATGTTCTCAGGCTGATCTCGAACTCCTGACCTTGTGATCCGCCTGCTTCAGCATTCCAAAGTGCTGGGATTATAGGTGTGAGCCACTGCGCCTGGCCTAGAGAAGGCTTCTTGTTAAGTGACTGCTTTCTTTTCATTTTAATTTTGCTTTATAATTATCTATGGTTCCAAAATCTAACCTACAACATAAAATACATTTAGAAGTCTTAACTTTTTCTCTTATCCTCTCTACCCAGGCCCCTGCTTTAATCCATCAGTTCATTTTTGGTTTATCCATTTTGACTACTAGAACTTAGGCTAAAACCTGGGTTTCTTAAAACCGGAGAAGATACAAATAAGCCATTAATGCAAATGTACATGCAATTCTGGTGTTAGACAAGAATGGATGCCACAATTGTAACTACAGCCTGTAATTCCAGAAAAAGAAGTTAACACTATGTGTGAGGTAAAACAACAAACAAAAAAAAAACCCTAGTGAGAAAAATTCAGGATTGTGTTATTAATTTCAAGGCAAATGAAAAAACTGGAGCCAGGGAGCAGCATAGCTAGCTGGCTGAAAATTTCAAGGATCCAGGCAACAATTGCATTATATCTCAAGTAGACCGATTGTGAGCCACTTCTAAAATGTGCCAATTATATTTAGACATTTAGAACTGGAAAGAACTTTCAAGATTAACCTAGTTTAAGATCCTCATTTTATAAGTAAGAAAAAATGAATGTACTTTAGGTCATTAGTACAACATGTACAGCTAGTCATGTTTTTTATTTTATTTTTACTGTATTATGTGTCACTCTTAAAAATATACATGAAACTGAAGGGTCTATTCTACCTATTCTAAGAAAGGGCACAGGAAGTTCATTTGCTCTCACAAAAGACATATTCCAAACATCCAAACTTATGCAAATAAGTATAAATTTCTCATTCATGAATTATGTAAATCCTCATCTCCTTAACTCATGGAGACATGTTACTAAGATACACTGTAAGATAATTAGAATGAAAACCTGATTAGGACCTTATGCTTATTTTCTCAGTGGTATCAAAATAAATAACACATACTTTATTACGAATGATTCTATTTCACCAATAAGCTAAATAAATATGTTGGAAATTCAAAGACTTACTGTAGCTTTAAATACTTTATCCAGGTTTACATCTTCATTATTCCATATTCTTAAAACCTTAAATCAAAACATACTAGTTAAAAACTATCTTATTCTCCATTTACATATAATAAATACAAATAGTTAAGTCAACATTTATGTTGTATATATTATATAAAAGTTTTAAAACTCACCTTATTATCGTGTACAACAATATACTCCCCAGTTTGAAAGTTGCACACAGCTGGACATGTTATAATTTGACCTTGTTTCACTGACCAGCTCCCCAAAGGTTTCTGATCAGAAACCTAATGAAATTAAGATAAATACAATAGTCAAGAAGTCAATTTCAGACATTAAAAGCAATTAAATTTACAATTAATGAAAGAAACCATTAAAATGACAGCATTTAACAAATTTCCTGGCTGGGCACAGTGGCTCACGCCTGTAATCCCAGCACTTTGGGAGGCAGGCAGAGGCACGTGGATCACCTGAGGTCAGGGGTTGGAGTCCAGTCTGACCAATGTGGTGAACCCTGCCTCTACTAAAAATACAAAAATTAGCAGGGCATGGTGGCATACACCTGTAATCCCAGCTACACGGGAGGCTGAGGCAGGAGAACCGCTTGAACCCAGGAGGTGGAGGTTGCAGTGAGCTGAGATCACACCACTGCACTCCAGCCTGGGCAACAGAGTGAGACCCCATCTCAAAAAAAAAAAAAAAAAAAAAAAAAAATTCCTAAATGTCATTAAAATGACAGCATTTAGAAAATTTCCTAAAAAAATAAGTAGTCACAACAAATACTGTAGATTCCACTTACATGTGAAGTACTTAGGGTAGTCAAATAAAGATTGAAAGAATGGTGGTTGCCAGAAGCTGGGGCAGTGGGAAGTATACGCTTAAAAACAGTTAAGATAGGCCAGGCTTGGTGGCTCCCGCTGAAATCCCAGCACTTTGGGAGGCCAAGGCTGGCGGATCAACTGAGGTCAGGAGTTTGTGACCAGACTGACCAACATGGAGAAACCCCGTCTCTACTAAAAATACAAAATTAGCCAGGTGTGGTGGCGCATGCCTGTAATCACAGCTACTCGGGAGACTGAGGCAGGAGTATCGCTTGAACCCAGGAGGTGGAAGTTGGGGTAAGCCGAGATTGTGCCATTGCACTCAAGCCTGGGCAACAAGAGCAAAACTCCATAGCAAAAAAAACCAAGTTAATATAAAGACAGGCACAGTGGCTCACACCTTTAACTATAGCCTGCAATTCCAGAAAGAGGGTCTCCTTCTGTGGCCCAGGCTCGATTTTGGTGTGATCTCGGCTTACTGCAACATCCGCCTCCCAGGTTCAAGCGATTCTCGAGCCTCAGCCTCTCAAGTAGCTGGGATTACAAGTGCACACCATCATGTCTGGCTAATTTTTCTATTTTCAATTGACACAGGATTTCACCATGTTGGTCAGGCTGGTCTCGAACTCCTACATCAAGTGATCTGTCCACCTCGGCCTCCCAAAGTTCTGGGATTACAGGTGTGAGCCACTGCCCCTGGGCAAAACTTTAAAGGGGTAGTTAAAATGAAAATATAACAAAGTCCCTAAATAAGTAAACAACCCTTTGTTAAAAAACAATAGTATATTTAAAAAATTGATTCTATTATGCCTCTGAATAGAGGTATGGGAAATTAAGTAGGGACAGCCGGGGATCATGTCTATCCAATTCCAATCAGCCCCTGTATTTCTACGTAGGAGCTGCAAAACTGCAAATCTACTTGACAGCTCAAGTAAAATCCAACAGTCAGCAGAGTCAAAACACAACAGGGAGCTGCTGGAAACCTGTTCTCAAAACGTCAAAGCAGATAGATAGCTAACTTCTTTAAAACATGGAAAACTGTTCAGCAGACAAGATAAAAGTAACTGTTTTCTATGCGACCGCCAAGAGCAAGGTGAGAAAGTGTTCTCTGTCAGGCTTTAGGCATAAAAGGGGGCAGGGCTTGCAGATTTTCCCGGGACTCAACTCCAGGATTTACAGCGTAACCAGAGGTGCCAACAGACAAATCACTTGGAGTCAAGATTCTTACCAAGCTATCAAGAAAAGTCCCTCACCCTCTAAAACTGTCCCCCTCCCACCCAAGGAGAGGGGTGTGAAGTGTACAGACACAGGAGGGCTAAACCACTATTCCCAGTCTGTCAGTGTCATCCTCTCCCGCCCAACCAATCTCCCGCGGGCAGCTAAGATGTTAAAGACCCCAGGACGGAATCTTAGCAAGGCCATCTCCGTGAGTTCCGAAGCAAAAGCACAGGTTCTCTTTCTTTTTCGAGTCTAACCCACGTGCACCCAGAAGCTCTGCCCCTGCAACTCGGAAATACGCCTTTACAAGAAGGCAAGCATCCAGATTCTAGACCTCACTCAGCGTCCCCAACAGGACAAGCTGGCTCTCCGCTAAGCCCACTCCACGATCTCTTTCTGAAGCTGTGAGAAACTCAAGCTCGGGCTCTGCGCTCAGAAAGGGGCGAGAAGGCAGTTGGGGCGCTCCCGATCCTATCGCCTTCACCTTATACAGGATGACGGTCCTGCCGTTGTCTGTCACTAAGAACTGGTCTGTTTTGCTGCTCTGCTCCACGCCTAGGAGTCCTTCAGACCCGGCGCTCAGGACTGCCGAAGACAACGTGAATTCTTCCTCCAGCGATGCCATTTTGAGCAAACCTAGGGACGGCCGCGCTCCCTCCCGGCAGGCCTCGCGCTTTCTCTCGCGAGACTGAACGGACCGGAGGGGGCGGGTGTTTGCCAAACCAAGAACCCACTCTCGCAGCCTGCGACCTCTGGCGGGGGGAAGGAGCGAGCGCGACTGTGAATTCAGCCAGGTGGGCGGGGCCGGCTTGTGTCAGACTCCGCCTCCCAAGACCATGCCTCCTCGAGTCCCGGATGTGCTCCAGGAAGGGATGGGGCAGGCGCGGAAGTGTTGCTTATTGGTTCCTGAATCGGCTGCGTGCCTTTCTGGGTGGGGACTTGAGAGACTGCAGGATGGGTCTAGGGAGTGGTCGAATTTAAATAAACTAGGTTATTTTTCACTCTAAGGGCACTCCCTAGGAATTCTTCCCATGGCCTTGTGGAACCACGAGCCAAAGAAAAAAAATTTATCTCTGTAGGTAAACTCCCAATAACGTGCTGTTCCTACGTGAAATGCTTAATTCCTCTCCAGTTCCGAGTTCACTGACTCCCCTCCTCTTAGCCCCAGCGTGGAAAGTCTCTCCCCAGCTTACAGGAAATTCAAATTAGTTTGAGGAAGGTGAAGTTGAAGGTCCCTTGATTTTTGGCAAGGTTTTATTTCCGGGAGAAATCTGTTTTTAAGATAAAGCCTGGCAGATTCAATCAATAATGTTTTTTTAAAAAAATCAAAGATAAATTGTGGGCGGGGCGCAGTGGCTCACACCTATAATCCCAGCACTTTGGGAAGCTGAGGCAGGTGGATCACCTGAGGTCAGGAGTTCAAGACCAGCCTGACCAACATGGCAAAATCCCATCTCTACTAAAAATACAAAAATTAGCCGGGTGTGATGGCACACGCCTGTAGTCCCAGCTACTCAGGAGGCTGAAGCAGGAGAATCGCTTGAACCCGGGAGGCGGAGGTTGCAGTGAGCCGAGATCACACCACTGCACTCCAGCCTGGAGTGCGAGACTCCGTCTCAAAAAAAGAAAAAAAAAAAAAAGATAAATTGTGATGTTCTTAGGGAGAAACTATATGATAGGCAATTACTAAACAAATGTACCCTGTGTGACAAAGTGCCTCCAGAGCGCCATGTGTGTTGTTTCTCATTGCCACAACATGAAAACATGGGCAAAGGAGAATATCCAGCTGCTGTGAAGGAATCTGATACAGCCAGTTTTTATAAAGCTGCTGGGCGCTGTGGCTCACACCTGTAATCCCAGCACTTTGGGAGGCTGAGGTGGTCGGATCACCTGAGGTCAGGAGTTCAAGACCAGCCTGACTAATGTGATAAAATCCCATCTCTACTAAAAATACAAAAATTATCCGGGCGTAGCGGCGAACGCCCCTGCTCCCAGCTACTTGTGAGGCTGAGGCAGGAGAACCACTTAAACCTGGGAGGTGGAGATTGCAGTGAGCTGAGATCACACCCTTGCACTCTAGCCTGGGAGACAGATGGAGAATTTGTGTCAAAAAAAAATTTTTTTTTATAAAGCTAATAGGTCTTTCATTGTTCAAAAGTAGCAGCATTATCATGGCTCACTGCAGCCTCTAACTCTTGGGCTAAAGCAGCCCTCCGGCTTCAGCCTCCTGAGTAACAGGGACTACAGGGATCCATCACCGTGCCTGGCTAATTTTTGTATTTGTTGTAGACATGGAGTCTTGCTTTGTTGTCCATGGTGACCTTGAACTCTGATAATATTTTAATTTTTAGGTTGGGTTGTGAGTTCAGGAGGATGTGGTTTATTATTATGCTTCATAACTTACATTGTGGTAGGTGGTAAGAAGAAAAACATTCAGCTCAGAAGTGGGAGATAAAGCATGGCAGTGAGGGAGGAACGGGAGGTATGTGTTTATGTGAGATTTTAACTAGGATGACCACAGAAGTCCTCCTTAAGAGAGAGGATTTTTTTTTTTTTTTGAGGCGGAGTTTTGCTCTTGTTGCCCAGGCTGGAGTGCAATGGTGCAATCTCAGCTCAACTTCTGCCTCCCAGGTTCAAGCGATTCCTCTGTCTCAGCCTCCCGAGTTGTTGGGATTACAGGCATGCACCACCATGCCTGGCTAATTTTGTATTTTTAGTAGAAACCGGATTTGATCATGTTGGCCAGGCTGGTCTCGAACTCCTGACCTCAGATGATCTGCCTGCCTCAGCTTCCCAAAGTGCTGGGATTACAGGTGTGAGCCACTGCGCCCAGCCACTTCACGTTTTTGTATTCATGGCCCCAGCAATTGTGTGCGACCAATTACAAAGAGCTTAATACATGTTTGTTCGTTGCAAGCTAGGGTAATAAATAGAATGTGGACTTGATCCATTAAGGGAAAGTAAGACTTCCTGGTTGAGAAAGTTGGAACTGCGCTTGCATATTCGTCTGTAATTTGAGTCTAAGTTTGGTAAACTATTAAAGGAGATTGCAATCCTTTCTGGAAAGGACACCAGCTGTAATAAGGGAACTAGGAGTCTTCTGCAACCAAGCCTAAGCTAGGAACGGGTCAGGAAGTGTTCCACTTCCACTGTGCATCCGTCAAGGTCAACGAGCAAGAAAAGAGTCTGGCTATCCATCACTGGTTAGAGACATTTAAGGCTGGTCTTCAAAGGCAGCTGTGACCCTGTATATTTTACTGTGTGCTGTGGATGTTCTCTCTGGATTGTTTGTCATGTTTATGCTGTTTGGCTGCCTAGCTGTGAAGACTGGGGGAAGATATCGCCTCTCACATTCAGTTCCTAGAATAGAATCAGATGATAAATATACAATGAACGAGTCTAAATATATAATGGGTAGGAAGGGAAGCCTACTCATATTCAAAAAGGAGGATGTTAGCCATTAGAAATTTATCATGGAAGGTTGACAGCTGGTGATGTGTACTTTGCATGAATGGGGTACAGTAAGTGCTTCATCAAAGGAATATTTGTAGAAGGACCATTCTGCAAAGAATGTGGATGGTAGTTATGTGTATGCCACCAAATCTCTATGTTATTTGAAACTTCTGGTGATTCTTAAAAAGGATCTGAGATACTCTAAGATATGTTTTTCAGTTTCAGAATCTCAAAAAACCTTTGTGGTAAATGTTCAGACCATAACAAATAATTGAACAAAAGTATCAGAATTTAGGTGTATGCCCCTGAAGACGTTTTCTGCCCAGCAAAAATCAGAGAGAGAGGAAAAATCTAATATCTTTTGTCATCCTTAGGAGCATACATTTCTTTCTTTTCCTTTTTTTTCTAACGAGGATGGAGCATACATTTCAACCTAATGTTAGCGTCCTCCCAGTGGTGCCAAAACCCAATGAGTGTATTTCAAATTTTTTGATTGTGCTAAAATATACATAACATAAAATTGCCATTTTAACCATTTTAGCAACTTTTCTTTTTTAAGAGACAGGGTCTTGCTATGTTGCTCAGGCTAGTCTTGAACTCATGGGTTCAAGTGATTCTCCTGCCTTGGCCTTCCCAGTAGCTGGGATTACAAGTGTGAACCATGGCATCTGGCTCTTAACCATTTTTTATTTTGAGACTGAGTCTCGCCCTGTCACCCAGTCTGGAGTGCAATGGTGCGATCTTGGTTCACTGCAACCTCCACTTCCTGGGTTCAAGCGATTCTTGTGCCTCAGCCTCCCATGCAGCTGGGATTACAGGTGCCTGCCAATAAACCCAGCTAATTTTCTTTATTTCTTTTTTTATGGAGTTTTGCTCTTGTTGCCCAAGTTGGAGTGCAATGGCACAATCCTGGCTCACTGCGACCTCTGCCTCCCAGGTTCAAGTGATTCTCCTGCCTCAGTCTCCTGAGTAGCTGGGATTACAGGCATCCAGTTAATACTGTATTTTTAGCAGAGACAGGGTTTCTTCATATTGGGTCAGGCTGGTCTTGAACACCTGACCTCAGGTGATCTGCCTGCCGTGGGCTCCCATTGTGCTGGGATTGCAGGCGTGAGCCACTGTGCTGGGCCTCTTAACCATTTTTATTTTATTTATTTTTTGAAACAGAGTCTTGCTCTGTCACCCAGGCTGGAGTGCAGTGGCACAATCTCGACTCACTGCAACCTCCACCTCCCGGGATCAAGCAATTATCCCGCCTCAACCTCCTGAGTAGCTGGGATTACAGGCACACGCCACCACACCCAGCTAGTTTTTGTATTTTTAGTGGAGATGAGGATTCACCTTGTTGGCCAGGCTGGTCTTGAACTCCTGACTTCAGGTGATTCACCCGCCTCGGCCTCCCAAAGTGCTGGGATTACAGGCGTGAGCCACCGTGCGCGACCCGTTTTTCGTTTTCTTTTTTTAAATTTGCACAATAATAGCCATCCTAAAGAGTGTGTGTATTTCGGAATTTGAGGTCAAGCAAGCCGTTTTGATTTAGCTCCAACAGGATAGGTAAGTAAGTAGGAGGAAAGGCCTGGGCTGAAGAGTTTAAGATCAGTGGGCAGAGTACAGTGCCTGCAAGAACCCAACAATCTTCAGGAACAGTTTAGGCTGCTTGTCATCATTAAGGGTCCAAGCTGGAGTTAGAGCAGTGACCAGTGCTCTAGAAAACGATTGCTGGCAGGTGCGTGCACAACTTGAGAGAGGTCTGGGTCCTGGAAGTCATTTCCAGTCAGTGGGCGGAGGCTCAGGAGAAAGCAAAAACAAGACAAGGCTTCAGACCTGAACAAAAACCACTGATGCTTCCTCTTCCTCATCTCCCAGATCCAGACTGTACCCAAGCATTCATTCATTATACACTTTTTTGTTTTTAAGGGACCGGGTCTTACTCTGTCACTCAGGCTAGAGTGCAGTGTCATGATCGTAGCTCACTTTAGCTTCAAACTCCTGGACTCCAGTGATCCTCCCACCTCAGCTGGGATTACAGGCACATGCCACCAGGCTCAACTAAATTTTTTTTTTTTTTTTTTTTTTTGAGATGGAGTTTCGCTCTTGTTACCCAGGCTGGAGTGCAATGGCGCGATCTCGGCTCACCGCAACCTCCGCCTCCTGGGTTCAGGCAATTCTCCTGCCTCAGCCTCCTGAGTAGCTGGGATTACAGGCACGCGCCACCATGCCCAGCTAATTTTTTGTAATTTTAGTAGAGACGGGGTTTCACCATGTTGACCAGGATGGTCTCG